GCACACCACATGCAGAAGAGTGATGCTGGACCCTTACCTCATACCACATGCAGAAGTTAGCCTACGATGGGCCCATGACCTAATGTAAGACCTAAACATATAAAATTGTTAGGAGAAAACATAGGACAAAGGTTCCACAACATTGGATTTGGCAGTGATTTCTTGGACATCACACCAAAGTGTAGGTAATAAAAGAAAAAGTAGACACATTGGGCTTGATGAGACTTGGTGTCTTTTGATGGACCAGTTCCCTAGTGGTCCCAGGTACTCGGGAGACTGAGGCAGGAGAATTACTTGAACCCAGGTGGTGGAGGTGGCAATGAGCCGAGATCGGGCCACTGCACTCCAACCTGGGAGACAGAGCAAGGTTCCATCTCAAAAAAAAAAAAAAAAATAGCAAAGGACTTCAATAGACATTTTTTCAAAGAAGATCTACAAGTGGCCAGTAAGCTCTTGAAAAGATGCTCAGTACCACTAATCATAAGGTGAATGTTGAACAAAACCACAATGAGATACCACCTTACACCTATTGAGGATTGTTACTATCCAAACAGAAGAAAACATGTATCCGTGAGGATGTGGAGAAATGGGAACACTTGTGCGCTGCTGGTGGGAATGTGAAATGGTGCAGCCGCCGTGAAAAACACGATCTTGATTCCTCAAAACATTAACTACGGAACTACCATGTGATCCGGCAATTCCACTACCACGCATGTGCCCCAAAAGAACTGAAAGCAGGTCTTGAAGAGACATCTGCACACCGACGTTGACATCAGCATCGTTCACAACAGCCAACAGGGGGCAGCCACCCGAGGGCCAGCTGGGGGAGGATGGCAGAGTGTCGTGTGCACACAGCGAGTGGGACTCAGCCCGAGGAGCGAGGCCGGGACCCGTGCTGCAGCGTGGATGAGCCTTGGGGACACGATGCCGAATGAAATCACTCAGCTACAGAGGACAAATGTGGGACAGCTCCACTTACAAGAGGTCCCTAGAGTCGTCAAACTGATGGAGACAGACAGAGTAGAAGGGCTGGAGGCAGGGGCTGGAGAGTTCGGACTTAGTGGGAACAGAGCTTCAGTTTGACAGGAGGGAAAGGGTTGTGGAGGTAGTAGTCGTAATAGTGGTACAACATTTTGAGTATATTTAATACCACTGAACTGTGCACTTAAAGACGATAAAGATGGTACATTTTGTTGTGAGTGTATTTACCGAAGAAAAACCCAGAAAAAGTAAAAAGTCTTACGGCAGTTTGTGTGTCTACACTTGGATAGAAGCTGCATGTCTGCTGTGTGCAGTGTCTACACTTGGTGGAATCTGCAGGTCTCTGCTGTGTGTGGTGTCTATACTTGGGTGTAAGCTGTAGGTCTCTGCTGTGTGTGGTGTCTACACTTGGGTGGAAGCCTCAGTTCCTGCTGAGTGTGGTGTCTACACTTGGGTGGAAGCCTCAGTTCCTGCTGAGTGTGGTGTCTACACTTGGGTGGAATCTGCAGGTCTCTGCTGTGTGTGTTGTGTACACTTGTTTGGAAGCTGCAGGTCTCTGCTGTGTGTGGTGTCCACACTTGGGTGGAAGCCTCAGTTCCCACTGAGTGTGGTGTCTACACTTGGGTGGATTCTGCAGGTCTCTGCTGAATGTGGTGTCTACACTTGGGTGGATTCTGCAGGTCTCTGCTGTGTGTGGTATCTACACTTGGATGGAAGCCTCAGTTCCTGCTGGGTGTCGTGTCTACACTTGGGTGTAAGGTGCAGGTCTCTGCTGAGTGTGGTGT